TTTTGGAAATATTTGTCTTCAAGTTAGATAGGTCATAAGTAGTCGTCTCTTTGACAACAATACACTTCAGCTAATTTTGTACTCAAATATACAAACATTTACTATTTTATAAAACTAAATAACAAATTACATAAAAATCCATACATATTGAAAATAATAAAACATTTTTAAAAAAAAGCGTTGTATATTAAGTTTTATTGAAGTCTACTTTAAATGATTGATATTTTTCTTACTAACCATTAATATAATTAAATTAAATAAGAAATACTTAACATTTTATTTAAGAAATAAATTTACATTATCAATATGCTAAAATATTTTTTAGTAAATAAAAATTGATTGAATTTTGATTTGAAAAGATTGAATTTATCATTTATGTTTAATAAAAGGCTTTTATCAAGGCTTAAATATTAAAATATTATATCACTGTCTAGCCAGTTGTCCATATTACTCTACTGATAAATATCTGACCTTTGCTTATTAAACATAGCCGCAGGTATAAAATAAATAAATATATAAATAAAATAAAATAGGTAGAAACTTAGTGTGAAGATAATTTAGACTAATATTTTTTCTTTTTACTTAACTCCAAAGGTATATAATTTGTATTTAATGTTTTTTTAAATGTGTCCAATAAACTAAATGTTATTAGGTACCTACATTATTTATATTCAAATTTGATAGATAAAAAGTAAATATCAACAAATGGTGAACTTCTTGTACATTGATATTATTTAGGTACATTATGTATGTTCTTACAAATACTTATTTTGTACTAAAACTTAGGTTAGAACTTATAAGCTTACAAATTTTATAAAAATTAGAGTTAAGTAAATTAATTTAATTTTGTTTAATTATAATAAAAAACAAATCAACGTTGAATTTCTATAAGTGCTTCCTTTCATGAATTTATATAAAATTACTAAATATTTAAATGCGAGTATCTACCTATTTATACCCATAAATATTAATATATTGACGGAAGTCTTTAAATAAGAAATTTATAATCCTATTTTCAACTTTAATATGCACCAAATATTTAATAATATTATAAATTAATTTTCAAAACTACTATGTTGACGTGGGTGCTGAGGTGGTGGTATAGCAGCAGTATAAACTTTAAATAAAAGAAGACATTATCGGCTACTAACAGCTCTTATTAGTATCACTATGGCAGTCAGGCATAATATTATAATAACGTGATATTATTTTGTAAACACTTGTAAATTGTAATATGTATAAGTAACTATTTTTTGGATATTCTAAATAAGATGTGTATTCTTAATAATTACATAGGTATATTTTATTCTGACTTCTGCGCCCTGCAGGCCTTGGCAGAGTGAATTCCTTGGATTTATTTCTTTTAAAATAAAAATAATTTATTATTATTATAGAAATAATTATTTCCTGAAATTTCAACCAAACTCAAAATGTTAACTTCTAACAATAATAAAATAATATTTATCTTTTTTCGATATTTCTTAGTTGTTGTACTTTGTAAAATAATTTAATATTTTAATTTTTTTCTATCAAAAAAATTGTTTTTTCAATTCATCCCACGCGCTTCTGTTGATTATTCGATCAGTTATAAAAAAAACTGAAGCAGCTATTTTTTCATTGAATTAATTTCTATATTACTTATATAGTTAGTTACAAGACCATTTCTCCTGAACTATCCACCAAATTGATTGTTGAAGATGAAATATAAAAGGAGAATGATAGCAAATGGAAACACTTCGCTTAAATACATTGACAGTTATAATCTTCAGAGCTGAAATTGAAATTAAGCTAATTTTGTTGAGTAAATTTACTAAAGTGTAAAAAAAAGTTGAACATATAATAAATCTTAATCTCGACCTGTAGTTTATGCATATACTAAAGGCACGACTATCTTATCATCACTTTCTCTTTTAATGGAACTGTGAACTACAAAAACTTGATTAATTAATTCTGGACATGATTTGAATCATGACGGGCCCGTCCATAACCCAATAGGTACTTAAGTCTACCAGCTTTATTCAAATAGTGACAATTTTTACTGTAGAAAAGAAGAAAATATAATTATCTTTCCCGTCTGATTTCTTACAATTTCTTCATTTAAAAATAATTGAAACCAAGATAACCAACAATTTATTCATTCATTAAAAACTACGGTTATTGCGGTATCAATTATTTTTAAATGAAGAAACTGTAAGAAAACAATACGTGGTCTCCAGATATTGAATTTGGCTGTAGATGATCTGGATCCTTCCATTCCCATTTAAATTATAGTTTTAATTACAACTTTAGAAAGCTGCGATACTATTCAGTAGCAACATCAATAGCTTTATGGTATAAAGGAGTATCATTTACTTTTCATAATGATTTCAGTCATTTTATATTTGCCGTTAGTAGAAATTTGAAATTTCCCACCATTAGGTAGGTAATACGTATATTAATGCTTATATTATATACTTATTAATGTATAGTAACATTGAGTATTGATTTATACGCGATTTTTTAGTAATAATTAGTTTAACCTACCAAAGATAGAAATTACTAATGATATAAAAAATGAATAGGTAGTAGATATGGCCTATAGGCATCCTTAAAAATGGTGTCTAATTTAACGGTCTTGTTTATTCAAAATCGATTTTTCATAAGTAAGATTATTCATCGTTGAATTCAAACTTAATACATCCATTACAGTGACTACTCAATGACCAGGGCTTCTACTATGTAGGTACCTAGTACCTACATAAGATATTTACCGGTTTTTGGAATAGACATTTTAACATAAATTATTATTATGATTCTTCACCTGAATCACTTTTATAAATGTCAAAATTGTATATAACTTTTAAAATAATAATTATCGTCCATCAAAATCTGTTATATGATCTGCAAATATAACCTGAAATTATTATAGATGTACCTATGAGTGTGTTCAAATAAATCTAAATGTTACAAAAAACCAGATGACTCGTTATGTTGTATAAGTAATAGATTTCGACTTCCGAGTGAACCTCACCATTGAGTAAGTCACTGTAATTTATATATTAAACAATGATAAATGACTGTATACGAAAAACAATTCTGAATGGAGATGGGTTGTCAGTATCTATTTGAAAGGATATTTTATAATATATATTTTATACTACTATTACCTATAGGTAATTTATTTTCCATTAGCAGATAATCACTCGGTTGGAATTAACTTATTGTTATTCATTATATTATTAATTATGATAATATTATTATATATTATTGCTATTAACTTAAGGTAGGTAGGTAGATATTGTAAAATTGTAAATAGATTCGAAGTAGGTATAAACAAATTACAATTAGAAAAAATATTTTAAAAATGCCATTGTGCGTAGAAAATAATGGCAGATGTAGTACGTACCTAATGGCGAAAAGTTTCAAATCTCTACGGTTAATAATTTTTGAATTACAAAAACAAATAACTAAAATGGATAGAAGAAAACTCATCAGAAAAATGTGTTTAAATTTAAATAACCTATAGGTTTCGTCAAAAATTGAACTTGAAACGTATATAATTCTATAGATATTATTAAATTAATTTAAGACAATTTTAAGACGATCGTTGTATTATATTTTTAAGTATTAGGTATTAAAAATTGTGTATATAAATTGCACAAATGAATTTGTAATGAAAATTTAAAGTTCACGGTTTATGCTTTTTGAATTATAGCAAAAAAACAATATCGAGGTGAACCCTCCCTGACCCCTATTTACACTCAAGGTAATAAATAAGCGAGTTATCTGTTGATTTTTGCTGGATAAATCACATAATGTTTCGAATGATAATTTTTGGAAAAAAAAATTAAATACAATATACTTAATTTATCATACACTCAAAGTCTAATCAATCTTGCAGTCTAGTGTGAACCATTTTTCAAGGTGTTCGTATATTTTATTTGATTGGCAATTTATAAAGAGTAAAGAGCACGCTTTATCATTAACCCATCGAGTATTGTATATAGTTTCCAATTGTTTTTCGGACTTCAAACAAACATGAAACAATGTTCAATTTTATTAATTCTCTCAGATTCGTGAAATGTGTAGGTATAGGAAACACCAAAATATATATAAAACTACTATAGAATATAATATTTTAGATTATATTTTCCTATAACAATCGTCAATCTGTGTGCGAGCGTGCGGGTGTCTATGTTTCAGGTTGTGAAAGTGTAGATGTGATATTTAAATAAATATTTTAAGTAGGTTTAAAGTACCAATTAATTTGATCCAGTCTACCTAACTCATATAATATATTATGTGTGTGTTTTCGGAAAAATACTTAAATGCTACTAAACGCCAATAGCACGCGCCTGTGACGCGTGTAGATTTTGCGAGATCCCTTATGTATAAGTTGGCATTGATGTATTCATTAATTATTTTATTGAAACAAGATCAGAAAAGAATTTGTTTTTTACCTCTTTCTGATGCACAGTTATATTATAGTCAATGCTATTAAAATGTATATTATCTTGAATTCGTGTATCAAGGTCCTATACTTTTAAGTATCGTTTCATTGAAATGTAATTTTCACTTTATACAAATATTTTATGTGAAACTACACCTAATATATATTTATGAAAGCAGCATGACAGTTAGTTTTAATTTTACTTGGAGTCTGGAGAGTATATTAATTCTTAATCATCATTATTTTTTTCCAATTATACCTACTCCTCGTTTACGTTATCATCTACATATAGTTTCCTTAATTAAGGAAACTGTATAGTATATTATATAATAGCTGTTTATTTATAGTTTAATATTCTGGAGATACAATTTTTAATACCCTTTAATTCTGTTAGAAAATAGGTATCTGTGCAATTTTGAATAACTTATAACATAATATGATAATATATATATTATACAAAGCAATTATTGTTTAATTAACACTCGCAGATAATATTATATTATAATAATATTTTATTTTCCACAGTAACTCGAATAATCAAGGATTACAGGGATTTAAACGAAAGGACCAAATGGACGCCAAATCGAAAGATGACTCCAATATCAGCCTTACACTTCGGCTAATAATGCAAGGAAAGGTAAATATTATATTTTAAGTTTGTCTTAATTATACATAATATTATTTATTATTTTTAAACAATTATGTGTAGTATAAAAGTAATCTGGGTAAAGAATAATTCAATAATGAATATAAAATGTAATAATTAATATTGTAATTTTCGATTTCACGTTCCCCTCGTGGACTTGAAGCCTTAAAAAAGAATGTAATAAATAATCCATTTAGCGTTATTATTACTATTCTAAATAGTTTCATAAGTGAAACCATATTACACTTGTATGTGTTATATTATGTACGTATACATTTAGGTAAATATATAGGTAATGTTATATACAAGGTGATTGATTTAAGTGTCTACTCGTATTTTTTCAAAAAGTTAAAAAAGTCACAAAAGTAAGAAGGTATCGAATAATGTTGGTTTACTACTTCCCTCATCAAACATTTTAAATTAAATACTTAAACAAATATAGGTATAACTTATTAATTATAAACCAATCATTCAAAATTGGTTTTTAATGTATCGATGTACCTATTCCGAAAATATTCTGCTTCGGAATATGAAATGAACAATGTATGTTTTTATCCTTCAAAAAAGTAAAAAATTAAATAATGATAAAGATAAAAATTGTTGTTTTGCAATGACATAGCATTATGTAAGAATAACATTTTTGGAGTGTAGTCACCGGTTTTAGATGGAATTTTTACGTGACGCTATAATAATAATAAACTTATACCTATTGACGTTATGTTATTATACAAATTTACTTCCTTTTAGTGCGATCTACTATTATTATTTTTGTTATCAACTCATTCGATAAATTCAGTTAGAAATTATATTATCATATTAATATAATCGTTATAGCCTTATAGATATGCAACAATTTGGAATTTTTTGTAATATAACGTTTAGACCACTAGGGAGTGTCTAAAAAGGCAGTATAAAATTGCATGATGAGAACATTCTACGGCCGTCTTGTCAAGCAACCCATTCTAATATTACTAATTATATTATACACAACCATGGGCAATGGGTTGACACGCCTTAAATTGCCCCTCTGACATCTTGTACATATTTATATGCAATAAACATAGTATTATTATGTACCTAGTTGTATATAGTAGATAATATTAATATGTATTATGGTAGTATTATATAAACATATAGTACTACACTATATACGTATTTACATGTGGGATTCAGAAAAACAACTTACACGTTTATAATGGTAAATGAAACTGATATTTAACTGTTAAGTCATATACAAGTATGAAACAGTGGCGTATTTAGGAATTTGTCATGGGGAGGGTCCAGATAATTTTCAGAACATAGAGCCACGGGGGACGAAGCCCCCACACCACCCATTTACTCTTTATTAAATAAAATATACCATATTTATAAGACGATATAAAATTGTCGAGTTTTTAATTATTAAATAATAATATGTACAAAACAAATTTAAAAAAAAGCGGGTGAGCGGGTGAGTGGGTTCACTCTGCTGCTGTACAGTAGGTTACAAGTGGGTCAATGTATAATGGATTGTATTAAACTTGAACTCAATGATATAATATCATAATATCATTTTATAAGAAAAACGATTCTGAGAGAAGACGGTTTGTCAGTCTGGATATTTTATATTGTTATTATTTATTATAGCCTGTAAGTTGAATTAATAATGAAATACTTTTATTTTTTATTTTTTTCTATGGTGATAGACAAAGTGTTAGAAATTAAAATCCAAATTTTAGCGGTTTTTCGTAATTTTTTGGTGGTTTTTACAGTGGCATTAAATAACTATTGAGAAAATCGAAAAATGACCTCTCTAAAGTACTATCTTGATCCAATTTTCTAAAAGATAAGTTACTATATGTCTATACATGTTGAAATCGAAGCACTCCTTCAGGAAGAAATTTTGTATACAGGAAAAAAAATAAACACCATTGTAGATCCAATAGATCCCTCAGAATCGAATATATAGTTATATGTTATAACTTTTATACAAATATTTCCTTAATTACATTAGGAACCTACTTCATTCATAGTTGATCTTAGATAGCTTTTCAACCTTAAAAAGTTTGAAAAAGATCTCTTTGGAGTGGTTGTAGATACTGGCAATGTACAAAACTATAAAATATTTGAATTAAAAAATGAATTTGGTATTTTTCAACCATTTTCGGTACCCAACTGATAAAAATAATCACGATATTTATTGAAAATGTTGATTTAACTATAGCTTCGAAAATTTTTATACAATCCGTAAAATCGTATGATAAAGTTTGTTTTTTAATCATGTAAAAACTGCACAACATTTAACATGTACGAGACACGAGTCAATGGGAGGGGTCCGGACCCCATGGTCCCCCCCGTAAATACGCCACTGGTATGAAACGTTTCATCGATATATACTATATAAAATAAAATAAATAATCACAAAACCTGGGAATAGTTGTTCAGCTGTATTTTAGGTTTTGAGTAGGTCATGAATACATACGTCGTCATTGAGTAGTTATGTTCAATTTATATTAAATTTGATTTTATGAAAAAAATATTGAGAAGAATGTACATAAATAATTAATAACTTCTGTTAATAAGGTGTTAGCTAGGTGATAGAACTCTTTGGATGGCCTGTCTTTCTGTTATTTACTCTCTATCTCACTCTCTCTCTCTTTCTACCTCTCTAGTCTTATATGTATTATTCTTACTATAATAAACCCATTTATGTTTATATACATATATATACTTTTATCAAATATTTATATTATGCTTTGTCATAACTCATAAGGATACAGTTTAAAAAAAATATAACTGATCATTTATATTGTCAAAGTTACCACGTTGGCATCAAACTCCAGTTTACTTCAACTATCGATGATTGTTATAACTTATAATCCAATTGATGTTTCTTATTTGGAGATTGGAATGTGAAGTTATGTTACATACTCATATGTTAACCTACTAAAAATATTTAAACATAAGAAATTATACTTATATGCTTTTTAAATTGTAATACATTTTTTTTTTTACAGGAAGTTGGTAGTATAATAGGGAAAAAAGGAGAGATTGTCAAACGGTTCAGAGAAGAGGTATGTATACAATTTATCTAGCAATATTCTTACCCGCGCGTCAGATTAATACGGACCATCATGGAGGATATTAATCACGGGGTGATTTAGAAATGGGGTAGGATTGAGTCCAAAAAGGTCTGGGAGAATAGTGAAATTATACATTGTGCGAGAAACATTTCTGACAGTTTTATCCTTAGACAGAAGCATAAATTTCTTTTATGTTGATCGAACTTGACATTTTTCGACTGATGAATCTTAACGAGTTATTTAGATACACACTTGAAGATTAATCATAGTTATAAACAATACATTTAAAGTAAGCGCAAGTACAATGAAACTTGTTTTAAAATAGTTATAATTAAGAAAACACAGCTAAAATGTATGTCGTTCTTAAAATGAATAATTCATTATTTAATTGTATAATATAATAAAATTATATTATAATACTATGAATTTTGCTTAAGCCGTACTCTGCCCATAATATTCTTAAGTTATTATCTAACCTAATAAACCATGATTATATTTATAGTATTTATACAGTTATACACTTATACAATATAAGCTTGTACCGTGACGAGTAAGAAGTATAATTGTCTGATGGGCCAATTTTTGGTATCTATCGTTATACCAGACATGGGCGTACTCATAGGAGAGAGGTTTTCTAAGAACGCCACTGACACCAGATTCCTATATATTTAATATAATATTAAAGTCGTTATTATTAATTGTTTTGGTCAACAATTTATTGTATTACATATATTTTTTTTAATGTGGGTTATTAATTTTAAGTTAATAATATGTTTGTAAAATGTTTACCTAGTACCTAGCATTTTAAAATTAGTTTAATAGTTAATTTAACAACTCTTAATTGAGTAGGTACTTACATTTAATTTTTTCACAGTCTGGTGCCAAAATAAATATATCTGATGGCTCTTGTCCTGAAAGAATAGTGACCATATCAGGATCTACTGAAGCCATTTACAAAGCATTTTCTTTAATATGCACAAAAGTTGAAGAGGTAAGTTTTTCGGCGTACTTAATGCTTGCTTGGATATATTTACTTGTGTTAAAAGGCATATGTTTGATATAATATGATCATTAGCCATACATTCTACATTTTGATATTAATCATTAGGTATTCATTAATGTTATAAATATTAAAGATAATGTAAAATTAGGTTGTAATAAAATAAAAGTTAAGTTATTTAATTATTAAAAAGGGTTTATTTCATATTTTAGTTATATTATTATTATTAAATGTTTCTATCTTTATTTATTTTGGTTTCATTAGTTAATCAAAATAATTATTTGAATTCAATTATTTATATCAAAATGGGTAGGTCTAGTTTTTCTTTAAAATTAAATTGTTGTATATAATAAGGACACTTAACATACTATCTCCAAAATAAATTAGTTCCTCAAATTGAAATATAAACCATTATTTTTAAAGTTGCAAATATTAAACCTATTATAATAAGTTTAAAATTTCATAAAATCAATAAAAATACATTTTTTACTATAGTTTATTGAAATGCAAAATGGAAAAACTGGAGCAACAGCGATCGGAAAATGTGGTATGACCCTTCGGTTGATTGTTCCAGCATCACAGTGTGGATCTTTAATTGGGAAGGGTGGTAATAAAATCAAAGAAATTAGAGAAGCTACCGGAGCACAGATACAAGTGGCTTCTGATGTGCTTCCTCAATCTACAGAAAGAGCAGTAACATTAACTGGTACGAGGGACTCAATAACGCAGTGTATATTTCACATTTGTGCAGTTATGGTGGAAGTAAGTATACTAATAAATTCTATAACTACTAAAACAATTCTATATTTAGTTTTATACACAATGGTCGATGAGTATTAGTATTATAATAAATCGTAACATATCATGGTAGATATTGTTTATATGATCATCAATTTTAAAGTACAAAACCAATATAGTTGATAGGAAAAAAATGTGTATTATTAAAACAACTAAAACTTTTTAGTTATTTTGAATATTATGTAATTATAATTTATTTAAGAGTTTAAATAACCAATGAGAAATTCTATTTCAGTCACCTCCTAAAGGAGTAACAATACCTTATCGTGCTAAACCTCAGATGGGTGCACCAGTTATATTGGCTGGAGGACAAGCATTTACTCTAGCAAGTGCAGGATCCGCAGGTGGTTGTGATGTAGGCACCATGATGGTAGGTGGTGGCCCATATAATGCTCCAATGCTTATGGTTCCTCCATCGCCTGGTGCAGCAGCAAGTCTAGGCTTAATTGATCCACTGGACTATCCTCTGCTTAAAAACGCATTCGGACCATCACAAGTATACATTTTTATTTCAAATATACGTATAATAGAATAAAAATTTACAACCGAGTTAATTAATGTATTTTAGTTGGGAAAATTGACTGGAAATCCGTTAGCTGGTCTTGCGGCACTTGGACTTGGAAGTTTGGGAGGACCTGCGAATTCATTTAATCCAGCAGGTAAGTTAATGGTTTGATTTACTATACTATTTGATAAAATTATAGTTTATAAAACACATACTTTTAAAGCATTGGCGGCATTAGCTGGCAGCCAGTTGAGATCTAATGGTTCTGGAGCCAATATTAACAATAGATCTGGAGGCGGTCAACAAACACATGAAATGACTGTACCAAATGACTTAATTGGCTGTATCATTGGCAAGGGAGGAACTAAAATCGCTGAAATTAGGTGCGTGTTTAGTTTTGTTGGTTGTTATTTTCAATTTTGTGACTTCGAAAGTGTCATCAATGGTTATTTAATCAAATTATTCATGTTTTCTTTTACTTTATAGCTCATACTCTTATTGTGCTTGCTGATACAGATTGTGTATACATAATAACAAATAATAATAATAAAAAAAAAAATGTTACTTAAGTAATAATCATAGTTGATTTTATAATTCCAGGCAAATAAGTGGAGCAATGATACGGATCTCAAATTGTGAAGACCGTGAAGGAAGTGCAAGCACGGATAGGACCATAACGATAACTGGAAATCCTGACTCAGTGGCTTTAGCTCAGTACTTAATCAATATGAGGTGAGTACCTAGTGTTTAAATTACAGCATGAATACAACTACTACTCGTTTGCCATACCTTTTGGCAAGGACACACTTTCGCTTTTGCGTTCTCGTTCGGCTTTTTTTTCGGTAGCGATTCTGGGTCAAAATGGACAATAGGGGCTTGCATTAATCTACAGTAGCGTGCACTTGAAAGCTGTCAAGAATTATAAAGTTGTTAAATATCAGCAGTTTTCAGCTGACCCAGAATATATAGATGTGGAATACAGAGCCCGGCTTTAAAGCTGGTAGGCGTTCAATTAGAATTGGCTGCACTGTTACTGCGTGGCTATTTGCGGTCGAAATTTTATGCAGCTTGTTAATTGAATCATGTAAGCCATTAATCCGTTTGAGGCATCGTCGCTGTGATTAAATTCCACTGTACCTAACGCAACTTCGCAATGCGGTGAATATATATTAGATGTATAAATGTATAATAGCAGTTGATTGAATTCGTGTAACATTTTAATGAATGCGAAATTTAGAATTAAAATGATAAAAAAATATTATTCGAAATAAATTAATAACCTAAATCTACAAATAATTATTTTATTAATATTTTATATGATACATATAAATACATAGTTTTTACATACATTTCCTTTTCATGCATAATATAGTTATTTTTTAACATACAATACATATCCCATCCCGAATTATCCAGTTGTATGCCGTCCCAAGACATTCAATATATACCGAGCTAGTTAATATGATATAGGTAAACAACTTAAAAGCAAAATGAATCACATGCATACATACATTTAATATTATAAATTATCAAAATGTATAATACATAGGTATTTAAGATTTAAGAATTAAATCTATTTATTTTTAATACAAAATAATTTTAAAATATAAATTAAGGTGTTACAAATTACATAAAAACTTATAATTTACTAATTACAGTACCTACTTAAGAAAAATTTTGATTTGGTGTAAAGAAGTCAAGCTGTTATTGGTAGAGAAGGGTATTGTACGATTTTGGCTCGAAATGGCACCCAATCGTTATAACTTATTAGTTATTAGGTACTGAGATCACTACGATTGCATAAGTAATAAAGTCTTAACAAAAATGTATTCATCGTAAATTTCTGCAGCTACCCCAACAGGAATCTATTATGCAATATGGGGACCAAATAAAAATTTGGCTCTATGGCCTAAATTATAAATGTATGCCCGTGTATTTAACTACATAGAATATCATTCTTAAAAATTATTTTATAGTATCAAAGTCCTAAGCACATTATAAATCATTATAAAGTTGGTTTTCATTAATATCCGATTGTAGAGTAGGTATAATAGATATATCTGTATATTGAAATATTTTTACTTTACCGGATACCCCTAAACTTTTTTTGATGTAGGCTAGGTATTTTGATATGCTTAAAATTATGGTGAAGTTAGAATTTGGCATTCGGACATATCTTTTTTACGGTACTGCTTAAATAGCGAATTCCACAATTAATAAATAGCTATATCATAGCTATCATAGCAGTTCAATGGAAAACTTAGTATACGAATACCTTAGTAGTTTTTTCTTCGATTTTTCAACTTATTTTTACTGACATTGGATGGTTTAAGTCAACAACTTTGGATTAGTTTTGCAAAACCGCCACAGGTATACCATTGTATGAAGACCAATTTTAACAGTACTTATAGAAACAGCGGGGTTACTTACTTGCTACGCTTGCTTAGACAGTTTAAATCGAAAACCCCCCTCGAATTTATTACAAAACCACCACAGGTGGTTAGTGTTTGAAAATTTCATGAAATTTAAAAAAATGAAATATTTCGTGAAATATTTCATGAAATATTTCAAAATATGTGAAATATTTCAGTATTTTAATATATTTTGTTTTATTTTTAAATAAGTTTTATATTTACATATAATTGTCATAAATTACCTTCATCATTATATGGTACCTGTATGTATACCTAACCTTTGGTATTATACATTTGAATAGGTATTCAAAATTTTTAAATATTTTAATGTTTAAATGATACAAGTAGGTATACAATATTATACATGTATATTGTATACTTACTGAATTAAGACATTAGAATTTAGAATACTGAACATTGTGTTAAAAAAATAAATAAATTGTGTTTTTATTTGTGTTAAAAAAATTTCAATGTTTCACGTTTTTGTGAAATATTTCACAACTTAGTGAAATATTTCTCATACTTCAAACACTACAGGTGGTAATAACACTGTAACAGTGTAAAAGTATAATTTTTTCACATCCTATGTATAGATCTGGCGAGATTACTCGAACGCTTCTCTCTCTGGGATGGTTAAAACTGAAACATCCCTCGATATTTTATACAAAATCACCCTGGAAGGTCTCAGATTAATTTTTTTTAACGTTGACATATATACCGCGGATTCGTTCCTTTACTACTCTCGTTTAGGTGGTTTAGATGAAAACATCCTTTAATTTGCCATGTAAAACCCACTTAAGATCAAATGGTAAAACCCAATTTTCAACTGCACTTATAGACCCAGCGAGGTCTCTGGCAGTCTGGCTCGGACAATTTAGTAAAAGTTATATACTTTATAGTGTACAATATACTACAATAATACACGCTATCCTGCACTGTGCCACAATATAGTGTTTTGAAATTACGAAAATAACTATTTAGGCGGTACAGTTAAAACTAAAAATGTAAAATCTCTATAAATTTGAAACTAAATCCGACCATAAAAATACTGACTTCACCATGGTTTTCTGAAGTTACCAAAATACCTAATTTTCAAAATCAATAAAGGGAATCCGATGAAGTTTAGAAAAATCATTATTATATACAGTAGTACACCTTGATGTATGTAGTGTCTGAGTTGTGTTTAGAAAAACGAACCAAAATCGAAATCGAATACAGTATTAGTCATATATCAGTGGTGCAGCCAGAACCTAGAAAAATCTACCTACTGGTTATTATATCAAGACTATTTTTTTTTTAAGGTCAGTTGTCAAGGCTGGGTCTATTACTATAAAATTTAATTCTTATACTTTACACCAGTGGTTTTCAAACTTTTATTAAACACGGCACACCGTGCTTCACAAAAAATGTTCACGGCACAGTGACTTTTGTTTTGCACTAAATAATTAGATGAACAAAATTGTTTTGAATTATAATTATATAAGTACATTTAATTAGAAATGTGTGCTTTATGGTCCAAGATTTTTTTATTAATTATATTTTACAATTTTATTCATGGACGTTCAACTTTCCGAAAGACCGTGGCACACTTAGTGAATGCTTGCGGCCTCCAGTTTGAAAACCACTGCTATATACCATTGATGATTATTTAATATTTTAGTCCAGATTATTATGCAATTGATATAAAATTAACTAGGTTCAAATAGTATACATACCTATTTGTGATTTATGTAAAAATTATGTTCTGCAAAAGTTTAATGATACTATTTATTGCCTACCTACTCTAAAAAGAAAATGTGTGCTTGGCGTATATTGTAGATTATTATCAAGAATATAATAGATAGAATGGAAATGTATACTTAAGTGTTTATAGATTAAAGACAATTAAAATCTAATTGAAATTGGTAGTGCTTCTTCAAGAATCTGTAGTAGTTAATTTGTATTAAATTGCATAAAACAAAAATATATATAGAATATATTTTAGAATAGGTACTCCCTCCAAGGTCTGTAAAATTAAAATCCTTCTCCAAATCGTATCCTGGCTGAACCACTGGTTGTACGTCTTTGAAATACAACACTACACTAAAATACTTCAAACGGGGACTGGAACTAAACCAAAATCTTTTGAAAATTAAGAAAATTAAATGTTATCAATATCATATGGGTTGTATCCGTCTTACAAACGAACCTACAACATAGCAAATTAGTGTTTAGCAGAACTTTTTTTGTGTTGTTAGCTTCAATACTAGAGTGAATTTAATTAAATTAATTTTTTGACGAACTGAAATCTATGTAACCGGTTCCAGCCCCTGATTTATATAATTTTATACCATTCTTAATATATTTTTCTTGTTTTTGTTTTTCTTATATGTACTTACATATTATATCATAATGGTATAACGATTTTTATTTTTTATTCTACCGATATTGTTTTTATTTTTATTTTTTATTACTGCCCCCCACCGCCATTCCTCGACCTCGACCATAGCTTGGACATACAGCGCGCCTCGATGTTGCAATCGGAAATCCAACACCACCACCATCATCACCTCCTTCACCACCACCAACATCACCAGCAGCAGCAGCAGCAGCAGCAACAGCAGCAACAACAGCAGCAGCATCAACAGCAACAACAGCAACAGCTAGTATTGCCACCGCACCAGTACCCGTTCCCTGTTCACCACATGCTCGTTACATGCAACACCACGAACACCACCACCACCTCGGCCACGAACGCCCACCAAACCGCCAACCCATTGCCAGCCACCCACACGCACCACCAACAGCAGTACACCACCGCTGCTGACATATTACCCGTCCAGCACCATTTCCACGGCCCCGCGGTAGCCGCACTGCTATCCCCACAGCCAGCCGTCGCCAAACACAAAACCGACCGCATCAAGTTCACGCCATACTAATATACCATTAAAATATACAAACAAACCTATTTCTGACCAAAGTTTTCGGCATATTATGTATTATAACACTATAGTACACAGTATAAAATATTAAAATATAGTATATCGTAACAATATATAGTAACTTTTTGTTCGTGAACTACGACTACCGTCGAAAGACTGTACCTATTCGATAGCGTGGTCCTAATTTTACAGACTGATCGATGCCCACTTCGAACCACTGAACTTAAAAAGGATATGAGCTATCGAGTCTGCCTGAAAATAATGTACCAGATGATTACGACAACGGCAGCCAATCACGTAACCTCGAAAATCCTATAACACCCGTGTTTCTATTATGGTTCTCGTATTGCTATAATAGTAGTACGATTCAGTATTTACCATACGTCTATACCCTTGTGTAAACACTCTAGTCGATTTCGTATCAAGGACTGGAATAATCGGTTATGGAACGGGAATCCTTTCTAAATATTGAAAACTAAATCTCCCTGGAACCCTTATTTAAATATTTTAAAAACTGGAAAAAACATATTGTTTCCTGCGTCTGTTTTGTACTCAATCCACAAGTCTTTATTTTGAACCGAGTATAGATGCCTCATAACTTGCGTATCAAATAGTTACGTATTATAGGAATATAATATTATAAAGATATCATGACTATTGATGTAAATACCTAATGGGAAGGGTTTTGGAGAATTTATCCTAACAATTTATTTTTACGGTATTTAAAGGCTTGCTGTAAAATTGTCTGTGTAAAGTATAGAGTTATTATTATTACACTAATCATTAATGTCAACAACTTTTTTTACTTAACTATTTTACAAAAAAGAGCTTACAAATTTGGCAATCATACATATTTATACGATATGTTAAGAAATTGTTTGTTATTTTTTTTGTTTGTGTATGTTACAGTGCATTAATTGTATTCGTGGAAATGGAGTGTTCATGGGGGAGGGGGTTGGTTGGAATTCGTTACTACATTATAATATTTACTAGTCATTTTTCAATTAATTAAGTTTATATTGAGGTAATCATAATATTAATATCAATCCTTTATATGCCTATTTAATTTAATTTGTTATTTATTATTATATATTCAAAATGGTATGTGCCTTATACTCAACTGTTCATTAAACCGTATTAATTTTGTAAAAACTATATTCAGACCAAATTTTTAACCATTCAAATTTATTGTATATTTTTTATCATTTATTTTGTATCAAAATATTTATGTGATATGAATAAAATGCTCACTTAAAGTAATTAATTGTATTAAATATAATATAATAATTATGTGTATATTATTTAATTTCAAATAATTTAAAGCCTTCATATTGTTCCGATATCATACAATAATATTAATATTACGTTGTGTTATAATTGTATAGTTTAATACTTCTGTAGACGATAGAAGTAAATATTTATGTTGTTCATGTAATATAATATATATTTTAGATTATTCGTGATAATATAAATTTGAATGAGTTTACAATTACCTACAGGTTTTTTTTTCTTATTATGAGTCATTATTTATCAACTTTACACTATAAGCCATTTGATGTGCATGAAACAATAGCCCTTTTAAATTAAATCAACAAGTATATGCATGAGACTATATTATTATAATATTACATAAATGGTTTTATAATAAAGTTAAGTTGTTTTTTTTTATTCGTTATGTTGATTAGTGTATTACTAAGCATGTGTGTTCAGCAAAAAAATTGTTTAATTCTGAAACCAATTGAAACTTGTATTTGAACGCATATCAAGGTCAGTAAACTAGACATTTTATCAAGATATTGTACATAATACTTATATTATATCTTATACTAAATGATTCGACGTTTCTGTTGATCACCGATCTCATGTAGAATTTATTTATTATTTATTTGTTATCAGAATATCCATGGAGACTGCTGGTCTAGCCTTGCCCGGTTATCATTACGTATCACCTAATCACATTGTCAAGTCACCGATTCATTAAATCAATTTACAAAAGAGGTAAGCAAATGGTTTATGAAAATCAAAGCGATACACAACCAAAAATTCTGTCTTATAGTGTCTCATGTTTGACAGTAAAAGTCAGTGCATGTATTTTCTTCACCATAGTACATAATTGTTTTTTCAAATTTTATCCCAACCTTAATAAATTATAGTCAATAAAAATAAATAATATTGTTTTCTAATTTTATAAAATTGTATTATATTTACGCATGCAAACAAAAATTAATATATAAAAATTAATTATGAAATCAATATTAAAGGTACCTAATTAATTTTCCATTTTATAATCAGTTAGACGGCACTCTGATTATGCAATTTAAAGACATTATTTGGAGTTACCAATACCACAAAATATATTAGCTTTTAAGAAAACCTTTAATGACAACTATATAATTTGATTCATATAAACTTTTTTAATTAATAATATTATGATTTTTATTTAAGTAGCTTTTAATTATTTTCATACATAAATGATAATAATTTTGAGTACTAATCCATCAAATTTGTTTAATACGAATATTCCCCGCCATATATATCTTATCACAGGTTTTATACTGCTCTGCATCTAAAAAAACTCTTCAAAAAGAAACAATAAGTATTTATAAGAGGTTCCATACTCAATACCCCCAAAAATATATCACATTTTGGCTTAAAATTAAACAAGTTTATACCTTTTGTTATTAAGCATATATTGATATATGAGTCATAAATGGAATAAATATAATATGATACTTTAATAATAATATTTATTATAATGAATGTGATAAAAATGCGAAATAAAATTAATTTTTTCATATTATTGATATCGAATTCCAATTATTTTTTACAAATTAAATTTATTTAATGTCTCCTTTTTCAGTTTTTCATTAGCATTCCAGTTATCAGTTATTATTATTATTATTATTATTATTATTATTGTTATTATTATGTGTTATTGTAGAGACTCTTTTCTAATTTTATTTAATTATTTTTTTTACACAGTTTATTTTTAATGCAGTTACTTTCTGAAAGTTAACCAAAACGTTAACTACGGGGTGTACACGTATGTTTGGGTGTTAAATGTTAATCATAAATTTGTGCATTATAATGTTTATGAAATGATTCAGATTTGTTGTTTGTCCTGTATCGTTCTTTATTGGTTCTTTCACCAAAATATTTACTGACATTTTTATTCTTCATTAATTATTATTATAGTTTTCTAAAATATAGTTATTAAACGTATAGTGTTATGTGTAGGAGTTATATAAATGAGATCAATATATTGTATAACTATCATTAAAGTTCTCAGGTGGGAAGAAAGCTGGGCCGAAAAAATATTTTAGCCATAGTCTTATTCATTAAATTATTATTTAACTGTATTTTTTCAATTCGAGACTTCACCTTCTTAGACCATTACTTCGCTCAAAGCTCTCATTAAAAACCAAAAGAACAATCTATACGGCTCTTCTAAGACCAATGTGGTACTATGGCATTCAACTTTTGGGTTCTGCCAAACCGTCAAATACCAAAACAATTCAGGCATTCCAGTCTATATGTCTTCGATTATTATCAGGTGCCCCCTAGTATATAACCAATGAATCACTTCATTAAGACATCTACATTCCAACCTTAAATAATCTTGCTATGATCACCTACAAAAAAAACACACAAAACATACAGCACTCACTCAAATCCTATAATCACTCAACTATCGTCGAAACAAATCCCAGGTAATCCACCCAGGCGCCTGAAAAGGAACTGGTGTAGGGAAATACTCTCTCCTTAAATCGATTTCCACGGGGTGCCACCATTGGGTGACTTCCCCTCCCGCTAATCATCCTCATCACATTTACTTATTGTAATACATGTAAATATGTAATTATAGATTGTAAATAAAATTTTTGTCCAATAAAAAAAAAAACTGTATTTTACAATACCAGATTTGACTCAAATGCAATTGGAACGCAATCATTTCTACACTTGGAAACGATTTTTCTATAGCAATATTGCACTTTTTAAAAATCTGAGTATATAACTTCCTACTTACATGAAAAATCTACATACTTACCTACTTTACATACATAAAAATACCTACCTAGGTATATATATATTTATTATAGTCTATAGTGGACAGTGGTCATTGCTCAAACGTGTTGCAGCACGATTGTGCACTTTTCTGTTTTTGACCCGGCTAATCACAATAAGGTTGAACTGAACTTTTCTGCTTATATCATTTTTTATGCAATTTCGTTTGTTTTAACATATGTAGTTAAACATGTTCTACAAAAACAATATTTTGGTTTCATTTATTTTAAGCGACATGCATGAATTGTATAATACGAACATAAGATGTAACAAAAAATTTATGTTTTATAAGGACCATGGTATAGGTTTCAGTATAAATAATAACAATTATACTAAAATAAAAAAAGAATACAAAAATGTAATCACGAATAACTATGCAGGGAGATCCACGGTCGTAGAAGGCTAAGACTAGACTTGGACTATCTTCTAAGGACTAAGACCTTGCAGGGATATATGCAACACCCAATGTTTAGCTGTGCAGAGGATACATGTGATATGCTCGCCAAGCACCTTTGGGGATTCCCACATTACAGCCCACTGGAAAAATGTAGCTTTCCAACGTTTCAACCATTATCTAAAACTAAACTTTCGGTGCAGGAGTTACAAAAATTATATTTAGTATACCTATACGCCTATACATATATTATTAGGTTTGAAATCGTGGTGGGTTAAGTCGATTCAAAAAAATGAAAAAGTACGCAATTGTGTTGCAGCCAATTAATATCATATAATATTAGGTAGGGTGTAGGGACCTATATAGTCTGTATTTATTAGGTACTCATATAAAATGTTTATTCCATAATTACAAGTACTTGATAAAAAATATTGAACTTATGTTAAATTAATTATTTTTAAGATCTGCTATACAACACTTGGGCATTGGAAAAGTAAAACGATAATGAACATCAAAAATAAGGTATTATATAAATTAT